TAGCCGGGAGCGCTGCGCGCGCAGCCAGGAAGGGGGAGCGGGCGCGACCCTCAGTTTCCCGGGCCGGGCCACGCGATGGGGTCCCGCGCGAGCTCGGAGGCCTCTCGGGGTTTCGCAGCGGCCGCCGGGTCACACCCAGGCGCAGAGTTGCTCGTCCCCGTCGGGGCGCCCCGGGGGGCGGCGGGGTCCGGGGGTCCCAGCGGGCGGAGGCAGCAGCGGGCGGAGGCGCCGGGCCAGGCGGGCGCGGACGGCCGAGGCGAGCACCAGCAGCGGCGGCAGCGAGAGAAGCCCGAACACGATGAGCGCCGCGGAGCCGCGGTCCGAGAACAGCGCGCGGCACCGGGGACCGGGAGCGGGGTGGACCTGGGGGCCGGGCGGGCGGTCAGTGGGGGGCGGGCGGGGTGATGGAGCTTCCGGAAGGGAGAGAAGAGGGAGCGGGACAGGGTGATGGAGGGAGAGGAGGGGGCGGGGGAGAGGGGGCGGGACGGGATGATGGACGGGAGGGGAGCAGGGCAGGGTGATGAAGGGGCAGTGAGGGCCGGACGGTGAGGGATGGGTGGGCTGGAGCAGGGTGGAGAGGGGAGGGGAGAGGGAGCGGGGTGGGAGAAAGGATGCTAGGCCGCGGCAACAGGAGATGGAAGGGTGCAGGGCGGGAGAGAGGAGTGGCAGATAGAGAAGATGAAAGAGCAGGGACGGGGCGATAGAGGGGCCGGGGCGGGCTGAGCAGGGTGGGGAGAGGGAGGGGGAGATGGAGGGATGAAGGATTAGGGCCTGGGCGAAGGAGGGGCGGGGCGGAGAGAGGGGAGGGGCGGGCCGCTGTGGGCCAGGCAGTGCTGAGGGGTGAACGGGAGATCCGGGACGCAGCAGGTAAAGGGCCGAGCAGGGTCCCTTGAGGGGAGGCTCAGAAAAAGCGCCCACTGCCGTGTTCTGTCCCCCTGCGCCGTCCCATCACCAGTTGGCGCCATCCCCCATGCCAGCAGAAAGGGGCCCGGGGCCATCTGCCTGAACCCCCGCCCCCAGACCAGGCCACAGCCCACTCCACAGGGGGGAGGCCCCGCCCTGGCAGGAGGGCCTGGGAGGGGCCGTGTGTGTTGGAGGGACGGGGGACTGTGCGTTAGTGAAACTTGACAACATTTTCATCTTCTTTTCCTGGAACCCCGTTCTCTCCCCACCCCCACCCAGCTGTCCAGGCCCTGGTGGCCCCTGGTACAAGGCCGGGAGGCCTCGGGGTGGGGACAGAGCTGTCCCTTGGGTGAAAAACAAAAGCTCTTTTTTGGCCGTGGCTGGTGGGGGTGCTTGGGAGAAGAAGGGGCTGCCAGGTAGGGGCACATGTGTCTCCGAGGACAAGGGGCAATACTGGAAAGGGGCACAGTGGCCTTCAGCCGCAGGGCACGCCCACTCCCCAGGATCCCAGCTAGTCTCCCGCCCATGGGGCACAGGCTCACCCTCGAGTGGCACAGGAATCCCAGGTAGACGACGGCCGCTGCGGGCAGGAGCACCAGCAGGAAGGCTGTGGCGGGCAGCAGGAGGTGCAGCAGGAGCCCGGCCACCAGCCGGCCGGGCAGCAGCAGGGGCCCCGGCCACCCTGGGCACGGCAGAGCTGAGGCCTGGTGGTCAGGAGGTCCCCGGGGCAGCATAGGCGCTGTGTCCGAAGCACCGCCTCCCTCCTCCTCCTCCATCTCCCTTCCCTGCTCACTCATGCTCCTGAAGCTGCAGGCCTGCGGCCAGGGTGGTGTTCAGGTGCAGAGCTGTGCTCCCCAGGGCCACCCTAGAAGACCTTTAACCCCGCCCCACGTTGCAGCTAGTCCACATCTCCCAGCCAGACCGTGGACCCTTGCTAGGGATGTCCTGCCCTGATGTCTGTCCCAGAGCCACACCCCCACCTCAGTGTCCCCTCTGCCAGGCAGCTGCAGCTCCAGCCGCGCCAGTCTCCAGTCCCAGCCAGCTCCTGGTGCTCTGGGCAGGCCTTGCGGGGCCCTTCCCACCAGGGCCTCCTCCCTCCCTGTCCCGCCCTCCCCCTTTGCAGCTCCCCCCACACAAAGACTTCATTTCAAAGGGATTGACTCTGACAGCTGCCCCATCAGTAGCTGCCACCTGGAGCCCGGCCCCCCACCCCGTTTCCCAGCCCCAGCCGCACTGCTCCCTCATCTGAACGCCTTGTCAGTGTCCTCTGCCTGTGTCTCAGAGTGGATGAGAGGGCACCTGGGATGCGCGTGAGCTGTAAGGTGTGGGGCCTGTACACAGCAGGCACTCAGCAGGCAGCCAGGGACCACAGGCACCCTCGTGTCTGAACGCAGCCATCCCGAGCAGAGGAAAGGCAGATTTTCCAGGACAAGAACCTGTGTTCCATCATTTCTTTTTTTTTTTTTTTTGAGACAGAGTCTTACTCTTACCAGGGCTGGAGTACAGTGGCACGATCTCAGCTCGCTGCAACCTCTGCATACCTGGTTCAAGTGATTCTCCGGCCTCAGCTTACCTAGTAACTGGGACTACAGGCACTTGCACCATGACCAGCTAATATTTGCTTTTTTTTGGAAGGAGTCCGCTCTGTTGCCCAGGCTGGAGCACAGTGGTGTGATCTCAGCTCACTGCAAGCTCCGCCTCCCAGGTTCACGCCTTTCTCCTGCCTCAGCCTCCCAAGTAGCTGGGACTACAGGTGTGCACCACCATGGCCAGCTAATTTTTGTTGTTTTTTTGTTTGTTTGTTTTTAAGATGGAGTCTTGCTCTTGTCGTCCAGGCTGGAGTGCAGTGGCACGATTTCGGCTCACTGCAAACTCCACCTCCTGGGTTCAAGTGATTCTCCTGCATCAGCCTCCCAAGTAGCTGGGGTTACAGGTGCCCGCCACAATGCCCAGCTAATTTTTGTATTTTTAGTAGAGACGGGGTTTCACCATATTGGCCAGGCTTGTCTCGAACTCCTGGCCTCAGATGATCCACCCATCTCGTCGTCCCAAAGTGCTAGGATTACAGACGTGAGCCATAGTGCCTGGCCTGGATATGTTAACATAATAATTTAAGGTAAAATGAATGAGTTAATCAGCAGATTAGACAGAAGAGAGTAATTTGATGAGGGGGTAAAAAAGGAAGCGGTGAGGATATGGAGAAGGAATTCGTGGTGAAACTGGAGATAATGGTTGAGGGATTTCTGGAGCTGATGAACGTTGTGGACCTGTGGCTTACACCAAACAGGGTGGGTGTGAGCTCGGCCCAGCTGGGACGTGCTGGTGAGACCGAGAAACACCAGAGTCAGTGAGATCTTAGAGTCATCCTGAGAGAGCCCACGGATGCTGGCGCCTGTCTGAATGCGAGCCTGCCACAGGCTGAGCCCTGCAGCCGCCACCCGTGGGCTTCTGGAACCCTGGGCGTGGCCGAGCGTGGGCGTCTCTCCTGGGAGTCCCAGAGCCCTGGACGCTGGAGGCCGGGACCTGGGCAGACGGGAGAGGCCTTGGGGCTGGGGCCTGACCCCCTCCTCTGAGGGCCGCCTGCCGGGCTCTGCCCTGCCCTCCCCTCCCCTCCCCTTCCCTGCCCTCCTGTAGAGATGGAGTCTTGCTTTGTCACCCAGGCTGGAGTGCAGTGGCGCGATCTCGGCTGACTGCAACCTCTGCCTCCCAGGTTCACGCCTTTCTCCTGCCTCAGCCTCCCAAGTAGCTGGGACTACAGGCGCCGCCACCTCGCCCGGCTAATTTTTTTGTATTTTTAGTAGAGACGGGGTTTCACCGTGTTAGCCAAGATGGTCTCGATCTCCTGACCTCGTGATCCGCCCGTCTCGGTCTCCCAAAGTGCTGGGATTACAGGCTTGAGCCACTGCGCCCGGCCTGTATTTTTTTTTTAGTAGAGACGGGGTTTCACCCTGGTGGCCAGGATGGTCTTGATCTCTTGACTTTGATGCCCGCCTCAGCCTCCCAAAGTGCTGGGATTACAGGCGTGAGCCGCCGCGCCCGGCCCATCATTTCTAGTCAGGGGCAAAACTTTTCCCATCCAAAACCCCAACCAGTTTCTCTGAATGTTACTCCCAAGTCTGACTTTTTTTTGAGACAGGGTCTCATTCTGTCACCCAGGCTGCAGTACAGTGGTTCAATCACAGCTTACTGCAGCCTTGACCTCCTGGGCTCAATCAGTCCTCCCACCTCAGCCTCCTAAATAGTTGGGACTACAGGCACCTGCCACCACGCCTGGCTAATTTTGGTATTTTTGTAGAGATGGGATCTTGTCATGTTGCCCAGGCTGGTCTGGAACTCCCGGCCTCAAGTGATCCGCCTGCCTGGGCCTCCCACAGTGCTGGGATGACAAGCATCAGTCCCCGCGCCCGGCACAGTCCCTGATGTCTGTCCGTCTCCCAGGGCTTTATTGCACATCAGTAGTTCCAGCTCCATTTTCTTTTCTTTCTTTTTTTTTTTTTTTTCGAGGTGGAATTTTTTGCTCTTGTTGCCCAGGCTGGAGTGCAATGGCACGATCTCGGCTCACTGCAACCTCCACCTCCCAGGTTCAGGCAATTCTTCTGCCTCAGCCTCCCGAGTAGCTGGGATTACAGGCGCCCACCACGCCCAGCTAATTTTTGTATTTTTAGTAGAGGTGGGGTTTCACCATGTTAGCCAGAATGGTCTCAAACTCCTGACCTCAGGTGATCCGCCCGCCTCCGTCTCCCAAAGTGCTAGGATTACAGGCATGAGCCACTGCACTCAGCCTCCAACTCCATTTTCATAATTAATTGACAGGAGTAGGTGTCTGTGAGCTGAGCCACTCCCGGTGAGGTCTTCTAGTGGGCTCCATCCCTTTCAACACGTTCCAGGCCTCTCCATCTTGTCTACTTCTTTCAGACCTGTGAACGGGAAGGAGAGTGGCACCACGTGGCGTGTGACATCTAGCAGGGCAGTAGAGGCCTCCCTGCAGTGTCCCTACAGCGCTGGGCACGGTGGCTCACACTGTAATCCCAGCACTTTGAGGGGCTGAGGTGGGTGGATCACTTGAGGTCAGGAGTTTGAGACCAGCCTGGCCAATTTGCTGAAAGCTGGTCTGCTAAAAATGCAAAAATCAGGCCAGGTACGGTAGCTCATGCCTGTAATCTTGCACTTTGGGAGGATGAGGCAAGTGTATCACTTGAGGTCAGGGGTTCGAGACCAGCCTGAACAATGTGGTGAAACCTTGTCTCCTTAAAAAAAAAAAAAAAAAAAAAAAAAGGGCTGGGTGCGGTGGCTCAAGCCTGTAATCCCAGCACTTTGGGAGGCCGAGATGGGCGGATCACGAGGTCAGGAGATCGAGACCATCCTGGCTAACACGGTGAAACCCCGTCTCTACTAAAAAAATACAAAAAAAAACTAGCCGGGCGAGGTGGCGGGCGCCTGTAGTCCCAGCTACTCGGGAGGCTGAGGCAGGAGAATGGCGTGAACCCGGGAGGCGGAGCTTGCAGTGAGCTAAGATCCGGCCACTGCACTCTAGCCTGGGCGGCAGAGCAAGACTCCGTCTCAAAAAAAAAAAAAAACTTAGCCGGGCTTGTTGGCATGTGCCTGTAGTACCTGCTACTCCAAAAGCTGAGACAGGAGAATTGTTTGAACCCGGGAGGAGGAGGTTGCAGTGAGCCGAGATCAAACCATTGCATTCCAGCCTGGGCGACAGAGCGAGAATCCATGTCAAAAAAAAAAAATTATGCGTGGTGGTGGGCGCCTGTAATCCCAGCACTTTGGGAACCTGTGGAAGACGGATCACTTGAGGTCAGGAGACCAGCCTGGCCAACATGGTGAAACCCTATCTCTACTAAAAATACATAAATTAGCCAGGCGTGGTGGTGGGTGCCTGTAATCCCAGCTACTTGGGAGGCTGAGGCAGGAGAATCACTTGAACCTGGCAGATGGTGGTTCCAGTGAGCTGAGATCACGCCACTGCACTCCAGCCTGAGTGACAGAGTGAGACTCCATCTAAAAAATACAAATAGAAAGTTTAAAAATGTTGCAAAACCTCTGCTTTCTAAGTGCCCCCCAACCAGGCCCCTCGCTTATTCATTCAACAAACACTGCTGAACTGCTACTGAGTCCCAGGGACTGTCACCAGAAAAGGAGGTCCCGATCCAGACCCCAAGAGAGGGTTCTTGGACCCCATGCAAGGAAAAATTCGGACGAGTCCACCAAGTAAAGTGAAAGCAAGTTCAATAGGAAAATAAAGGAATAAGAGAAGGGCTGCCCTGTGGGCCGAGCAGCGGCCTGGGCTGCTCCACCGAGAACGCTTACTGTTTCCTGGGAAAGAGGCAGGCAATTCCCGGAAGTGAGGGTTCCTCCCCGTCTTAGACCATCTAGGGTAAGTTCTGGCATTGCCATGGCAACCGTAAACTGTGCTGGTGGGCGTGTATCTCATGCTAATGTATTATAATCAGCGCATAAAGAGCAGTGAGGACCGGCCGTCTTGGTTTTGGTGGTTTGGGGCCGGCTTCTTCACGGCATCCTGTTTTATCAGTGGGGTCTTTGTGACCTGTATCTTCTGCTGATCTCATCCTGTGACTAAGAATGCCTGACCTCCAGGGAATGCAGCCCAGCCGGTCTCGGCCTCATTTTACCCAGCCTGTTCAAGATGGAGCCGCTCTGGTTCAAATGTCTCTGCAGAACCACTCCAGGTTCTTTGGATTCCACGGCAAGGGGGCTGCGGCTTCTGCCCTTCCGTGCCCCACTGTGTGTGGGTCCTACAAGCATCACAGAGGCAGCTGTGGCTGCCCCCGCTATGGTGGAACCTGGGAGACGGGAGTCTTGGGAGTGGCCTCCTGGAGGTGCATTCTCGCCTCTGTACCTCTGGGAAGCTGGCATGAGGCGGTTTCTGGGGCCTCCCTGGCCCTGATGAGTATGGGACTTTCCACCCAGCCCCCAGAGCTCCTCACATCTTTCCTGGTCAGCCTCACAGAGCGTTCCTTCGAGAAGAGGAAGGCCGACATTTAAATAAAATAAACACATACTTTCCCGTAGTGATAAATGCTAAAAACTAAAACGGTTAGAGATGCACGTTGCGTCAGATCCATCAGTGGTCAGGCTCTGGGAAGGTGACCGATGAGTAGCCTGATGAGGTTTGCAGGGCAGGGTCTGTGTGGCTGGGTGGGTGGTCCCTTGTTTGGAGACCGTTTGGGCCCTTGGAGAGGCAGTCCTCTAGGGAGTGGGGGAGGCCAGGCCTGGGCCCTCTGGAGACCCTGTCCTTGGGGACCTGGGAGGCTGAAGGGGGCTGAGGTGGGAATGGGTAGCCCCCATCACCTTTCCCGTGCAGCTGCTGGAGGGGCCAGGCTGCTGCAGCCATCCCAAAAAGCTATGCTCCCTTCTGTCTGGCCCGAGGTACTGGGAGACAGGAAGATGCCTAGCCTTCCTACCCTGTGCGAGGCCCCCAGAATCCCGCTGCCCCAGGCCTTGCTTGAGCAGAGCTGCTTTTCCACATGCAGACGTGTCCTAGCAGGAATTCTCCCCACACTCCCTCCTGCCCCCCGCCCCCACCTGCCCCAGCATCTGTCCCTTCCCTGGCTCCAGACTTGCCCCAGCCAGTCCCCAGAGGGTTTTCATCCCTACCACGCCAGTGCCACCGTCTTCTCCAGGCCACCTGCCTGGAGTCCTTGGTGAATCTTTTGTCCTGTCCAGCATTTACAGAAAGGAAGGCCAGAACCTCGCCCCGCTCTCCTCCCCAGCCTGGAATCGGGAGGGGGGGCCGGCACCCACCCCTGAGTGGGCTTAGCCAGCATGGAGAGGAGTGAGGGTGAGGGGGCTGCCCGAGGGTGGGCACCATGGAGAGGCCTGTGAGGCCTTCCAGGGGCATGTCAGGGCACATCCAAGGCTGTGCTTCCTGGGGGAGGTGGCATCTGAGCAACTTTCGTCCACAGGCATGTTCCTGCTTGTCCTGCCCAACCACCCTGGCCTTTGTTCCCCAGGAGGGCAGCCGAGCTGGGGTCCTGGCAGCCACAGGGGAGGAGCGTGTTGGGCAGGGGCTGTGCCTGAAGGCAGGGCCTTCCTAAGTGGCTGAGTAAACAGCTTCAGGTGTTCTCAGCCTGGCCCAGGGGACCAGCTGTGTTCTCCCACCCCCTGCAAGGCTGAAGCTGCCGCCTTTCAGCAGCGCACTCTCCACCCCAAAGCCTGCAGAAGGCACTTTGTGAAGAAGGTCAGCAGGCTGAGCCTGGGCCAGAACCCATCTGCAGAGGACCCCCAGCCAGAGCAGAAAGCTCCTGGGCCAGCTCCCTTAGGTAACTGGAGCCAAGTCCGTCTGAAGGCTAAGTGGTAACTGGAATGGGGGGCTCCAGGTTGGCCCGGGACACTGAGCTGGGGGCAGGCCAGAGGCCTCCACGGTGGATGCAGGATCCCTGCTCCCCCAGATGGACTCCCAGAGGCCTGAACCCAGAGAGGAGGAGGAGGAACAGGAACTGCAGTGGATGGAGCTGGACTCCAAAGAGGCCCTGGGAACCAGGACAGAGGAGCCTAGTGTCTTCCAGGGCTGGGGGCACCTACTCCGGGCCGTGTGGAGGGGCCCTATAGGCCTGGTGATGCAGCTGCTCCGGCAAGGGGCCAGCGTGGAGGAGAGGTGCACCTGGGCTGGGGGGTGAAGGGGTCCCTTCTCTGGTTGGGGTAGGACGGGGGTTCCAGTGCTGGGTGGGCGGCAGGACGGAGTGGGGCTGGGCGGGGTTCTGGTCAGTGGTCCATCCCCGCGCCGACGCCCTTTCCCCCTCCTCAGGGACCACGCAGGCCGGACCCCGCTCCACCTGGCTGTGCTGCGGGGCCACGCGCCCCTGGTGCGTCTCCTGCTGCAGCGAGGGGCCCCGGTGGGCGCGGTGGACCGGGCGGGGCGCACGGCGCTGCACGAGGCCGCCTGGCACGGGCACTCGCGGGTGGCCGAATTGCTGCTGCAGCGCGGGGCCTCGGCGGCGGCGCGCTCCGGGACGGGCCTCACGCCGCTGCACTGGGCAGCCGCCCTGGGCCGCACGCTGCTAGCCGCGCGCCTGCTGGAGGCTCCGAGCCCGGGACCCGCGGCGGCGGAGGCAGAGGACGCGCGCGGCTGGACGGCGGCGCACTGGGCGGCCGCGGGCGCTGGCGGTGCTGGAGCTGCTGGCGGCCGGCGGCGCGGGCTGGACGGCGCCTGCTCGTGGCGGCCGCGCGGGCGCGGGGCGGCGTGCGCTCCTCCTGGCGTTTTTTTTTCGGGTGGATGCTCAGAATGGCGCGGGGGCCACAGCTTTTTTTTTGACGGCCGCCCTAGGCCGCCCGCAGGTACGTGCCGCCCTCCGCCCGGCAGTGATGGGATGGGGCGCAGGGCCAGGAGCCTTTTTTTTTTGCCCCCGGGGCAGCCGGAGCCGGGCTGGGGGACGTTTTTTTTTCACGAAGGTGACCGCGCCCCCGGCTGTGCCCCTCCTTTTTTTTTCAGGGCGGGACCCGAGGCCGGGGCTTGGCTTCATGTTTTTTTTTGCAACAGACTCTCTGCCAGCGCCCGGCTTGTGCCCTTTTTTTTTTGTTCCCGGGCAGCGGGCAGGGCTGCAGATCCTTGTTTTTTTTTTAAAGACCCTTAGGGGAAAAAGTGACGTTTCCAAGCAGAGCTGCTGCAGGCCAGCCTTGGGTTCGGCCTCACTTAAAGCTTTTTTTTTTGGTGTCAGGAGATTCAGGCCACTGGGGGGACAGATTTTTTTTTGGCTGGGCAAACGCTTGGTGGCTCTGCCCCTCGCCTTTTTTTTTGAGGCCAGCCCCTGCTCTTCTTCTCTCCTGTTCTATTTTTTTTTGGTGCTGCTGGGCCACGGGGCAGACCCAGCCATCATTTTTTTTTATGGCCGCTCTGCGCTGCACAGGGCTGCCGCCCGGTTTTTTTTTCCCACCGTCCAGCTGCTGGTCACCCAGGGGGCTAATTTTTTTTTGCGGGACACCCTGGGCTTCACGCCCCTACACCACGTTTTTTTTTAAGGCCACGCGGAGGTTGCCAGCTGCCTCCTGGACTTTTTTTTTCAGGTGGATGCTACCGGCTGGCTCCGAAAGACCCCTTTTTTTTTGGCTGCAGAGCGAGGGCATGGCCCTACCATGGCACTTTTTTTTTGCCGAGGGGCCAGCCCCACCCTGCGGACGCAGTGGGCTGAGGTGGCCCAGATGCCTGAGGGGGGCTGGCCCCAGGTGCTTTTTTTTTTTGGAGAGGGGCAGGAGTATGAGGGCACAGAGCCCATTTTTTTTTCCAGATAGCAGGCTCTGGGCTCCACTGCCCCAGCATTTTTTTTTCTCTCTGGCTGAGGCTGCCTGCCTGGAGGGAACATTTTTTTTTTGGCTCCCGGAGGAGGGGGTGGGAGAAAGCGGGGTATTTTTTTTTAACTGGACCTGGGATGGCCGCCAGCTCCCAGGAGGTTTTTTTTTCCCTGCAGCTCCAGCCTTCTCCGCACTCCAGCAAAGAATGAGTTGTGGCAACTGATGTGACCAAAACCTGATGACAGATGGTGGCAGGGACCTGGACGGCACCTCTGCCTTCCCTTCCTTCCCTTTTTTTTTACACCCTTGGGGCGCCCTCTTCAGTTGCTCTCTGTAGGCCGGGGTGTTCCCACTGTTTTCTTAGATTTGTATATGTCACTTTTTTTTTCATGAATTACATGTTCTCCTCGCTTCCATCCAGAGTTTTTTTTTTGACCCACCTCCTCATCTAACTGCTGCACAAGCCCTTTTTTTTTCTGCCCTGAGTCGCCCAAGGCCAGGAACAGGCAACTTTTTTTTTCACCGTGCACCAAGGCCAGATGGCATTTTTTTCTTTTTTTTTTTAAATGGAGTTTCGCTCTCGCTGCCCAGGCTGGAGTTTTTTTTTTCAATCTCGAATCACTGGCAACCTCCGCCTCCTGGGTTTTTTTTTTTCTCCTGCTTCAGCCTCCCAAGTAGCTGGGATTACAGGCGCCCACCACCATGCCTAGTTAACTTTTTATATTTTTAGTAGAGATGGGGTTTCACCATGTTGGCCAGGCTGGTCTTGAACTCCTTTTTTTTTATGATCCGCCTGCCTTGGCCTCCCAAAGTGCTGGGTTTTTTTTTGTGAGCCACTGCACCCAGTCAAGATGGCATTTTTCTTTTTTTTTTTTTTTTTTTGGAGACGGGAGTCTACGCGTGTGTCGACCCGGCTGGAGTGCAGTGGCGCCGATCTCGGCTCAACTGCCAAAGCTCCGTCCTACCGGGTTCACGCCATTCTCCTGCCTCAGCCTTCCGAGTAGCTGGACTACAGGCGCCCGCCACCACGCCCGGCTAGTTTTGGTATTATTTGCAGTAGAGACGGGGTTTCACCATGTTAGCCAGGGATCGTCTCGATCTCCTGACCTCGTGATCCACCCGCCTCGGCCTCCCAAAGTGCTGGGATTACAGGCTTGAGCCACCGCGCCCGGCCAAGATGGCATTTTTCAAGCTGGCCCATTCTGAACTGCTCACCCCGCCCTCCCTGCCCTTCCCACAGAATCCTTAGCCAAGGCTCTGGTCTTAGCTTTCCCCCCTCTGCCTCCTGACAAAACATGGGCGCTTCTCACGTCGCCCTGTATAGTGTGGGTGTCCCCATCGCTAAGGAAATGCAAGTAATAAAAATCTCCAATAATATCAGGTTCTCCACGTCTCCACTCAGTTACCTCCATGAACTGAAAATCCTGCAGGAAGGCCACTTGTGCCTGTAATCCCAGCACTTTGGGAGGCCAAGGTGGGAAGAGCACTTGAGCTCAGTTTTGAGACTAGCCTGGGCAACATGGTGAAACCCCATTTCTACAAAAGTTGGCCAGGCATGCACTTGTGGTCCAGCTACTCAGGAGGCTGAGGTGGGAAGATCACTCAAGCCCAGGAGCAGAGGCTGCAATGAGCCGAGATCACGCCACTGCACTCCAGACTAGAGTGAGTGAGAGTGAGACCCCATCTAAAAAAAAAAGTATAGTTTTTTTTTTCTTCTTGTTTTTTGAGATGAGGTCTTGGATCTGTCACCCAGGCTAGAGTGCAGTGGCATGATCTTGGCTCACTGCAGCCTCGGCCTCCTGGGTTCAAGCGATTCTCCCACCTCAGCTGGGATTACTGGGGCACGCCACCACGCCCAGCTACTTTTTGCATTTTTAGTAGAGACGGGGTTTCACCATGTTGGCCAGGCTGGTCTCGAACTTCTGACCTCAGGTGATCCACCTGCCTCGGCCTCCCAAAGTTGTGTAGAGCCACTGCACCCGGCCTCTGGAGTACAATGAATGGCATGATCTCGGCTCAGCACAAACTCTGCCTTCTGTGTAGAGTTCCAGCAATTCTGCCTCGGCCTCCCGAGTAGCTGACCATGTTGGCCTGCCTGGTCATTTAAGGTCAGGAGTTCGAGACCACCCTGGCCAACATTGTGAAATCCTGTCTCTACTAAAAATAAAAAAATTAGCCGGGAGTGGCAGTGAGCGCCTGTAATCCCAGATACTCGGGAGGCCAAGGCAGGAGAATCACTTGAACCGGGGAGGCAGAGGTTGCAGTGAGCCAAGATCGCACCTTTGTGCTCCAGCCTGGGCGACAGAGCGAAACTCCGTCTCAAAAAAAAAAAAAAAAAAGACACAACAATGAATGCAGTGTGTCATCCTGGACTGAATCCTCAACAGGGAAAAAAAGGTATAAAGGACATTTGAGACGAGTTAAATCTGGACTATGGGCTGAGTTCGGATTTTGATCATTGTACTGTGTGGTTCCTAAGAGTAAATACACAGCAAAGTGTTTAGGTATCTCCAGCTTCTCAAGTGGTTTAGGAAAAAAATCCAGTATGTTTACATTTATAGAGACAATGATTCGAAAATGGAGCAAAATGTAAACAGGAGATTGAAGGGGTGGCCTGCCCCTCCACACCTGTGGGTGTTTCTCGTTAGGTGGAACGAGACTTGAGAAAAGAAATACGAGACAAAGTATAGAGAAAGAAAAGCAGCGGCCCAGGGGACCGGCGCTCAGCTTACAGAGGACCCACGCGGGCACCGGTCTCTGAATTCCCTTAGTATTTATAGATAATTATCTTTACCATCTTAAAGATAAGGGAGTAGCAGGACAATAGGATCGTTTTTAGGGAGGAAATCAGCAGTAAGACATAAGAACAAGGATCGGCCGGGCGCGGTGGCTCACGCCTGTAATCCCAGCACTTTGGGAGGCTGAGGCGGGCGGATCACAAGGTCAGGAGATCGAGACCACAGTGAAACCCTGTCTCTACTAAAAATACAAAAAATTAGCCGGGCACCTGTAGTCCCAGCTACTCAGGAGGCTGAGGCAGGAGAATGGCGCGAACCCAGGAAGCGGAGCTTGCAGTGAGCCGACATCGCGCCACTGCACTCCAGCCTGGGCGACAGCGTGAGACTCCGTCTCAAAAAAAAAAAAAAAAAAAAAAAGAACAAGGATCTCTGTGACATGAATAAGTTTAAAGAAAAATCCTGTGCCTTGAGATAAACCTTTTAGCGGCATTGTTTCATCCTATCACATGGGGATAAACCTTGGACAATACCTAGCTTTTCGAGGAACAAAGACACACCCTGCACGCCCAAAATCCATTAAACCTTGAGTCACCACAGCACATGTCTCTTGCAAGGACAAGGTTGGGGGTAGGGTCACAGATTAACAGCATCTCAAATACAGAACAAAATGGAGTCTCTTATGTCTACTTCTTTCTATATAGAGGCAGTAACAGGCTGATCTCTTTCTTTTCCCCACAGGACGTGAATTTGGTTCGAGAGTATTAAACAAATGGAGCAAATGAAAACAGTTGGCACGTTTCTGTAGCAAACACTGGGGAGTTTTCCTTGTACTAGTATTCCAACTTTTCTATGATTAAGAAAAAATCATATCCAAATATAATAAAAAGTTACAAAGAAACTGCACACCTCCCATCATTTTTGTGGCAATATAGCAGAAACATAAAATTACCCATAATACAAAACTTTTTTTTTTTTAGAGACTCTGGCTCCGTTGCCCAGGCTGTTGTGCAACCTGAGCTCACTGCAGCCTCCACCTCCAGGGCTCAGGCGAGCCTCCCGCCTCAGCCTCCTGAGTAGCAGGGACCTCAGGCGCGCGCCATCACCGCGCCCGGCTAATTTCTTTTTAATTTGTTGTAGAGCTTGGGGTCTCACTATGTTGCCCAGGCTGGTCCTCCCCCCTCGGCCTCCGAAAGTGCTGGGATTGCAGGCATTGGCACCACCGCGGTCATTTGCCGTTTCGAAGCTTAGAATTTCTAGGGCGGGCGCGGTGGCTCAGGCCTGTAATCCCAGCAGAGGCCAGGAGTCCGAGAGCAGCCTGGCCAACGCAGGGAGACCTCCCCCCTACAAAAAACACAAAAAATTAGCCGGGCTGGCGGCGCGCGCCTGACGTCCCCGCTACCAGGGAGGCGAGGCCGCCGCGAGCCCAGGTCCGGCCGCTGCACCGCAGCCAGGGCGACCGGGCGAGACCCCCTCTCAAAATGAGTAAGTCAACAAGGAGAAGGCTTCAGGGGCAACGGGCACTTTCCCAGCGACGCGACCATCTGCACCTCGGTTCCTGAACATTCTCGTGGCCCTAGGAGGCGGCCTGGCCCTCCCCGCCCGCGCCACACCCGGCGCTCCCCGGCCCCGGCGCCCCCGACCCGGGTCGGCTGCCCTCATGGCGCCCTTGGAGCCACAGCTGCGGCCGGGCCGTGCTCCAGGAGGATCCGCGCTGCGGCTGCTGTTTATTCATCGCCCGCGGATGGCCACGGGCGCTGCGGCCCCTTTTTCCTTTCAGTCCCCGTCACGGCCCCACACCCGCTCCCCCACAAGCGCCACCACCGCGGGTTCAGAGACGCAGCCCGGCACCCGCAGGCTGACGGGAGACGACCTTCGCCCCGGAAGTCATCGCAGGCGCTGACCCGGAAGCGCTCGTGACCGCTATTTCCGACCCGGGCAAGATGGCGGTGGCGCGGCGCGTGCGTTGTTGAGTATACGGGACGCCGGCCTGCAGGCACCATGGTCTTCCTCACGGCGCAGCTCTGGCTGCGGAATCGCGTCACCGACCGCTACTTTCGGATCCAGGAGGTGCTGAAGCACGCCAGGGTGAGTGCCGCCCGCCTGGCCTGGGCACTGGACGCGCGGCGGATCCCGCGGGCCAAGGGGCGGCCGGCGCGGGCCTCGCTGACAACCTTGGTTTCTCGTTTTCTGACCCAGCACTTCCGGGGGAGGAAAAATCGCTGCTACAGTTTGGCGGTCAGAGCCGTGATTCGAGCCTTTGTGAAATGCACCAAAGCCCGATACCTGAAGAAAAAGAACATGAGGACCGTAAGCGTGGACCCGGGACACCCGCCGGCCAGGGCGCTCGCGGCCCCTGCGTCTCTGCTTCGCGACCCAGCGAGTGTGCAGCCGCTCGGCCACCCTCAGCTCCTTCCTTGCTTCCTTTCATACCTCGCTTCGAAACTCCGACAAATTATGTCGCCCCGCAGGCTGACTGTGGGACATCCGTTCTCCCGCCCCCCTCGCCACCCCCACTGTCAACCCCTTCTCCAGCCCCTCGCCCGGGCCACTGCAGAGCCGTCTTGCCACTCTTCCTGCGTCGCCAGCCACCGCCCTAGTCGCTGCTGCTCTCATCTCCCCTCCGGTGGCTTCCCTTCCCTCCGACAGCTGAAGTCAACCCAGCCCCTTGCCCACCCTCCAGGGCCACTGTCTGCTGCCGTGGTGGTCCTCGTAGAGCCCACGCCTGCTGGCAACCTCTGCACACCCGGAACCCCCGGCATTTTTGAGAGGCTAGCGCCTCCACTCTGTCCACGTGCCATCTCATTTCTGCGCCTCACCACTCCCACCTCAGCCTCATGAACCTAGCATCTAACATACCCGTGTTTTTGTTTTTTTGTGTTTTTTTTGAGGCGAAGTCTCGCTCTGTCGCCCACGCTGGAGTGGCTCGCTGCAAGCTCCGCCTCCCGGGTTCACGCCATTCTCCTGTTGGGACTACAGGCGCCCGCCACCACGTCCTAATTTTTTGCATTTTTAGTAGAGATGGGGTTTCACAGTGTTAGCCAGGATGGTCTCGATCTCCTGACATCGTGATCCGCCCACCTCGGCCTCCCAAAGTGCTGGGATCACAGGTGTGAGCCACCGCGCCCGGCCGTTTTTTTTTTTTTTCCTTCCCAGGGAGTCTCGCTCTGTCGCCCAGGCTGGAGTGCAATGGCGTGATCTAGGCTTAATGCAACCTCCGCCTCCTGGGTTCACGCCTCCTGGGTTCATTCTCCCACCCCAGTCTCCCGAGTAACTGGGACGGCAGGTGTGCACCACCAAGCTAATTTTTGTGTTTTTAGTAGAGACCGGCTTCAGCTATGTTGGCCAGGCTGGTGTCGAACTCCTGACCTGAAATGATCGGCCTGCCTTGCCCTCCTAAAGTGCTGGGATTACAGGCCTGAGCCACTGCGCCCAGCCGGGTTTTTGCTGTTTTTAATTTTGAAACAGGGTCTTGATTTCACTCAGGCTGAAGTGTGATGTCACCATCATAGCTATTTGCTTTTTTTATTTTCCTATTTACTTTTAGAAAAATATTCCTTAGTTCAATTAGAGCCTTTGCTAGGACATAACATCCAGAAGTCATTTTTAAGTATCTCCATGTTTTCTTATTTCAGCTCTGGATTAATCGAATTACAGCTGCTAGCCAGGAACACGGCCTGAAGTATCCAGCGTTCATTGGCAATTTAGTTAAGGTATGGGTGAGCATGTGGGCCCCGCTGAAATTATGGACATCTGCAGAAACCATCATGTGGGGTGTGGCGGTGCCTCCCATAGCCCAGGTACTCAGGAGGCTTTGGCCAGAGGATCCCTAAGACTGACTTCTGGGCTGTAGTTTTCTTTGCTGATGGGGTGTCCGTGTTAAGTTTGGTATCAATATGGTGATCTCTTGGGAGCAGGGGACCACCAGGTTGCCTAAGGAGGGGTGAACCAGCCCAGGTTGGAAACGGAGCAGGTCACAGTTCCCATGTTGATGAGTGATGGGATTGTGCCTAGGAATAGTGCCAGCAACAGCCTGGGCAACATAGTGAGACCACTCTCTACAAAAAAAAAGCTAGTAAAAATAGCTGGGTGTGGTGGCACAGACCTGTAGTGTCAGCTATTGAGGAGTCTGAGGCAGGAGGATCACTTTGAGCCCCCAGGGGTTTGAAGCTGCAGTGAGCTATGATGGCACCACTGCACTCTAGCCTAGGTGAGAGCGAGACCCTGTCTGACAAATAAAGAAAGCCATGGCCGGGTGGGGTGGCTCACGTCTGTGATCCCAGCACTTTGGGAGGCTGAGGTGGGCAGGAGTTGGAGACTATCCTGGCCAAGGTAGTGAAACCCTGTCTCTACTAAAAATACAAACATTAGCCGGACGTGGTGGCGGGCACCTAGAATTCCACCTACTCCGGAGGCTGAGGCAGGAAAATCGCTTGACAACTTGGGAGGTGGAGGGTGCAGTGAGCTGAGATCACGCGACTGCGCTCCAGCCTGGGCAACAGAGCAAGACTCCATCTCAAAAAATAAATAAAACCCTCCCATCAGACCTGACCCAGCCCAGTAGTGGTCCATGCAGCAGAGGTGAGGGGTGCCACTCCTGCGCACTGTAGCTGCACTCTGTCTTTGTGTGGGGTTCTCGCAAGTCTGGGAGCTTACCACACTGGTTGGCAGCAGAGCAGAATTGGAAACAAGTCATGTTTTCTGGAATTTAAGTCCTGATGTTTCCCCATTAAGAGAAAAGAGGCCGGGCGTGGTGGCTCACGCCTGTTATCCCAAAACTTTGGAAAGCCGAGGTGGGCAGATCACAAGGTCAGGAGATGGAGACCATCCTGGCTAACACGGTGAAACCCCGTCTCTACTAAAAATACAAGAAATTAGCTGGCCATGGTGGTGGGCTTCTGTAGTCCCAGCTACTCTGGAGGCTGAGGCGGGAGAATCACTTGAACTTGGGAGGCAGAGACTGCAGTGAGCCGAGATCACACCACTGCACTCCAGCCTGGGTGACAGAACAAGACTGTCCTCAAAACAAACAAAAAAAAAAAGTAAAAGACAAAGAGGGTGTAGCAAAAACTTGAACTTTAAAGCTTCAACAGTTTAGATTTAAAAGAAGTTTAAACAAGTGACAGTTGGCGTGTGGTGGCTCAACACTTTGCAATCCCCAGTACTTTGAGCAGCAGCCGAGGCAGGCAGACTCACCGTACATCAGTGAGTTTGGTCCAGAGACGGGGTCTTCACAGTGTTCTCAATCTCCCTGACCTGGTGATCTGCCCTGCCTCAGCCTCCAACACAGTGCTGGGGATTATAGGCGTCGCCACGTGCCCCTTTGCTTGGGGTTTTTTTCTTTTTTTTTTTTTTTTGAGATGGGAGTCCCTCGCATCTGTCGCCCAGGCCCTGGAGTGGCAGTGGCCGGATCTCAGCTCACTGCAAACTCGCGCCTCCCAGGTTTACGCCATCTCCTGCCTCCAGCCCTCCCGAGTAAGAAGCCTGGGAACTACCAACGGCGCCTACCAACCGTCGCCCGGCTAGTTTTTTGTATTTTTTTTAGTAGAGGACACGGGTTCACCGGTGTTACCAGGATGGTCTCGATCTCCTGACCTTTTGATCCGCCCGTCTCGGCCTCCCAAAGTGCTGGGATTACAGGCTTGAGCCACCGCGCCCGGCCCTTTTTCTTGTATTTTTTAGGACAGATGAGGTTTTTCCATGTTGATCAGGCCAGTCTCGAACCCCCGACCCCAGGTGACCTGCCTGCCTTGGCCTCCCAAGGTGCTGGGATTACAGGCGAGACACCGCAGCCAGCCTTGGTAGCTGAATTTAATGCTCAGAGACAGCCCCCCTTCTTTTCTGCTCCTTAAACTCTGGCATTGTTCACTAGCTTCTGAAATCATCTGCAGTTCTTAGCTCTCTTGTGGGCACTTCACTAGTTTCTGAAATCCTCTGCGGGTCTTGTGAGCACTTCCAAGTTGGCTTAAAGTGTTACCCCAGGCCAGCAGCCAGCAGTCAGTTCAGTCAGGGTGGCCACCAAGGACCCTGAACAAGGCGTTTGGTTCCCTGGGCTGACGTTGGGATTGGACTCCAGCCGCCCTGCAGATTCCACAGGTGCCTCCCTCACCCTTGTCCACATTTATCCTTCAGCATCCTGCCTGCAAGTCCTCTGCTGTGCCACCCCGATAGGATTCTCCTGGGCCTTCCCTCCCCCAGGCGAGTGTGCAGCCTGAGCCAGCGCCGCGCCCACGCACACTGACTGCAGCTTCTGATTCTTTCTTTTCCCAGTGCCAGGTGGAGCTCAACAGGAAAGTCCTAGCGGATCTGGCCATCTACGAACCAAAGACTTTTAAATCTTTGGCTGCCTTGGCCAATAGGAGGCGACACGAAGGATTTGCTGCTGCCTTGGGGGATGGGAAGGAACCTGAAGGCATTTTTTCCAGAGTGGTGCAGTACCACTGAGGACTGTTGCTGTATTGATTAGGAAAAGACACAGAGTCATTTGCAGTTTGTTTGATTTGTTCTTTTGTCTATCTACATCCCAGTAACAGGCATGAGGGAAGGCCCTGTCTCTGGGACAGAGTGTCACAGATGACGTCCGTGTTTTGTGTGAATGAAACTCAAACACTTCAGTTTTTGGAGTCATTTTCTGACAGCGAGCGAGCGCGTGGAGGAGCACGTCCTGCTTCCAACCGAGGCTGCGGCGACACCTGGCTGTGGGATGCAGCTGAGCAGGCAGCTGCCTTCTGCACATGGTGGGGGGTCCCTACCTGGGCTCCCCTCAAGGGCTGCGTGCACAGTGCCCACTTTCCAGTTCCCTGACCCACCCTGAGTCCCTACTCCATTCCGCTCAGGGCTGACCTCAGCCCTGTCTTCCCCTGGCCTCCAGTGTTCTTGCGTCCAGCAGGGCCCTGTGGCTCAGTTCAGCCGCCACTCAGAACAGCACCCTCAGCTTCCCTGTCCGCCAGATTCAGCACCCAGCAGGGACTGGAGGAAACGCTCACATCAGGTGGGTGGTGGCCTGGTCCCCGAAGGCTGAACTGGCTTTTCAGGCATCTCCAGGAAGCAACATCCAACAGACAACTATCCCTTAACCCCAAGGATGATGCACACTTCTCCCCTGGTCTTTCTGCCCCAGGAAGGCTCTGTCTACCTGCTGATGCCCCCCACATTTACACAGCAGTGCACAGACCCCTGCTGCAACCTGCTTGTCTTGCTGACCCTGCCATAGGAGCGCCTGAGCTGAGTGCCCATCTTCCCCCCTGCAAAGGCAGGTGGCTTGCATCCTGTGGCAATGTGCCCTTCACCCTTTGCCAGCAGTTGCTGGGGAGTCTTTCTGGCCCCTTTCTCAGACTCACCACCTACCTCCAACCTGCAGAGAACAATCAGAGTCCTGGCCACTTGCTAGAGATGGCTTCAGGCCGACCACTCCATCCTCACTGCAGGCCGCCTTTCTTTTTGGCTTCCATAACTGCATGGCCCCTTAAGAGGTCCCCCTCCTGGCCCTCGTCACTGCCTGATGACAGCCGCTACGCCCTATGACTTTGGAGGCCAGGGACCAAGTCTCGTTCACTGTCCTTTCCGCTGCATGAGTGCAGTGTCTGGCTATGTGCACGGGGCACTCAGTGCCTGTGAGCCCTTGGTAAATGGCTTCTGGACAACGGGGTTAAGGACAGAGCCTTGTGCGGCCACGTTCTGTGCATTCTGCTGTGCTGTGGCAAAGCTGCCTTTTCTGCATTTCATGTCAGTGAAGGAAGACATGCATGCGCAGAGCCCTGTGGGTTGCTCCCAGCACTCATTCGGTTTGTGCCATAGTCCTGTTCCCAGGCAGCCCCGGGGTCTGCCCCTGATTGGCTGGAGGCACCACCAACCTCCCACTCCTCGGGCAGTCACAGCTCAGGGAATGGGCAAGCAGCACCAATGAAAAACCAGCTGTGTAGAAGAGGAAATTCCTTCTTTACTGGAGAGCTTGCAGTTGTAACAGACAAGACATCCCTCCCTGAGCTGCCAGCCTGGGGGAGGACAGGAGTAAAGCTGTAACCACACCGTGTTGCCCATAGCAGGCGGTGAGGAGAGTGGGTCTTAGTTGGCACTGTTTGAGCTGCAGTATCAATCATGGCAGAGCTAGTGGACAGCTGGACCTGGGGGTAGCGGTGAGGAGCAATGGTGGCCTCTGGATTTGAGCCCGTTTGAGCTAGGCAGTCACTGGCAGCTCAGTGTGTGAACCTGCAACCACTCAGGCCTCTGCTGCCCTTCCCTCTTCTCACTGCTTCACCCTTCCCCTGCCCCACGCAGGCTTCCCCACTATCCTCACCCGTGGTTCTGCACTAGTCCTGGCAAAGGTTCCGGTAACTGTAGCAACAGATACCTACTGCCCCTCCTGCACAGCTGTGGTCGATCAGCGATGTTAAGACGTTACAAACGCAAGAACCCCCTCACTGTCTCCCTGGCGTTTGTGGGGTAGCTCCTTCACACGTACAGCACCGGACCTCCCTCCCCCGACTCCTTCCGGGGGCCTGAACCTTGAGGCACTTAGGCCTCCCAATGCTGGAGGGGGTCTGTAGAGGCGTCGAGGCCACGTTTCCAGTCCCCCCTCCACCCGTGTCTCCCCAGGGGCTGAGTTTTTAAGGCAAGACTTTGCGGGAGTCTGGCGTTAATACGCATCCCAAAAACCTGGAGTCAATAAGGACTGAAGACACGATGCCGACGGCGGCCGGGTGACTCCGGGCACGCGCGTCTCATCCAGGGCGAGGCCAAGCGGAGCCTCTGACCCTGCCCGCGCCCAGGGAACAGCAGTGGGGGGTCGTCCCGCCCCAGATCCGACCGAGATGGACCCCCTCGACCCACAAGCGTTTTGAGACGCGAGCTTCCGCGATCCGAGGTCTCTGTGCGAACGTGGGCATCCTGGAAGAGTCCCAGCCCCGCTCGGGGCGCACAGGCAAGCGCTCTCAGCACCGCACCCGCGACCCGCGCCTCCGCTCGGAACACACACGCTTCCGGGGTCGGCCGGCACCGCAGAGCCTGCTGGGTAACGAGCCCGCCCCACCCGCGCCAGGTTCCGGCGTCGGCGTTTGGCGCGTTGCTGACGGGCAGGTTGCGTAGCCAATTGCCGCTAGGCGGCGTCCCGCTGGTCGCGGGCCGAACCAATGACACGCGACGAGGCGGGGCGGTGGTGGCCGTGGAGCGTCGCGGGGAGCCGCCCTGCGGGAAGAAGCCGAAGGGGAGTCGGCGGCACAAAATGGCGGCGGCGGCGGCGGCGGCGGCTGGGGCTGCAGGGTCGGCCGCTCCTGCGGCAGCAGCGGCCGGCGCCCCGGGCTGTGGGGGCGCGCCCTCGGGGTCGCAGGGGGTGCTGATCGGGGACAGGCTGTACTCCGGGGTGCTCATCACCTTGGAGAACTGCCTCCTGCCTGACGACAAGCTCCGTTTCACGCCGTCCATGTCGAGTGGCCTCGACACCGACACAGAGACCGACCTCCGCGTGGTGGGCTGCGAGCTCATCCAGGCGGCCGGCATCCTGCTCCGCCTGCCGCAGGTGAGGGCGCGGCCGCGAGCCTCGGGCCCAGGTAACCGCTGGGGCGGCAGCCGCCCTTTGTTGGCGGCGAGTCGGGCCCGCGCTGCCCCAGCCCGGACCCGGAGCCCAGCCCCTGCCCCGACCGCAGCCCCTGCCGCGACCCCAGTCCCTAGCCAGCCCGTGCCCCTGACCCAGGGCCTCCCCGCCCGCCAGCGCGCTGGATCCCGCGACGGCGGGACGCGAAGAGCCTTTGTGGACGTGGGAAGCGTTTCAGTGTTTGGTTCTGCGTGGAGAGCCCCACGTTACTCGATGACTTTTGGCCGCGAAGGCTTTGAATGGTGCGTTTGAAAATACAGAAACTTTCTTCTACTCTAGGTGGCCATGGCTACCGGGCAGGTGTTGTTCCAGCGGTTCTTTTATACCAAGTCCTTCGTGAAGCACTCCATGGAGGTAAAGGTTTCCTCTTGCACTTCATTCCTAGCGAAATATGTTGCGGGGAGAACAGTTTGTTATTTTGCCCGGGTACTCAGGGGAGCGAGTACCTGCCCCCCAGGCTGAGCTCTGTGCCGGGTACTCAGGGGAGCGAGTACCTGCCCCCCAGGCTGAGCTCTGTGCCGGAGGGTTCTGTTTCTTGGTTTCTTTTTTCCCTGGGTGCACCTCCCTTTTGGTCTGAATAGCCTTCAAGCCTTTGGCGGCCGTCAGGACGCCGTGGCTGGGGACAAACATGGGCGTGTTGCCATGCTTCCGCTTCAGCACGTGTCAATGGCCTGTGTCCACCTGGCTTCCAAGATAGAAGAGGCTCCAAGACGCATTCGGGACGTCATCAATGTGTTTCACCGCCTGCGACAGCTGAGAGAGAAAAAGTGAGTCGGTCAGAGTTGTTTAGTCTATCATAGGTGTCTGTTTCCTTTTTTTCTGGTGAAGCTGCAGTGACACTTGTATAACAGTACAGGCCTGAGGTTCTAAACATGTGGGATGTTCATGAGCGTATTCTCAAGTTCCACCAACAGGGCCTGCTCAGAGGCATCGGCAGATGCTGTTCAGTGAGGGCAGGGCCTCCAGTGAGGATAGTGCACTGTGGCGGTTCATGCCGGCACTAGTGCACAGCCCTGTTGCTGTTTCTTTCCTACAGGTTTCCAAACGCTCTACAGCAGGGAGTCTTAATCTCAGCACTATTGACATTCAGGCTGGATAATCTTTTTTTCCCCCCCGAGACGGTTTCCTGTTGTCCAGGGCAGAGTGTGGTGGCATGATCATGGTTCACTGCAGCCTCAATCTCGTAAGCTCAAGAGTTTCTCCTGCCTCAGCCTCTTGAGTAGCTGGGACTACAGGAGCACGACACCTTGCCAGCTAATTTTTATTTTTTATTTGGTAGAGATGTGGTCACGCTGTGTTGCCCAGGCTGGTCTCAAATTCCTGGGCCCCAAGGATTTGCTGGGCTTAGCCTCCCAAAGCGCTGGGATTACAGGTTTCAGCCACCGCATCTGGCTGGGTAATCTTTAGTTGTAGGGGATTCTCCTGTGTGTTGCAGGATTCAGCAGCATCCCTGGTCTCTACTCACTGGATGACAGAAGTACCCCACCTTAGTTGTGACAGCCAGAAATTCTCTCATACCAGGTGTGGTGGCTCACACCTGTAATCCCAGCACTTGGGAGACTGAAGAAGGAGGTTTGCTTGAGGCCAGGAGATTGAGACTACAGTTATCTGTGATGTCACTACTGCACTCCAACCTGGATGGCAGAGTGAGATCCTGTTTACAAAAAACCCGAAAGTATCTTGATGTTGCTTCACGGCCCTGGAATAGCAAAATTTCTCCAGCAGAGAACCGTTGTCTCTGACCCAGGGTTTATGCACCTGAAGTTAATGGAAGTCTTTTAGAAAACACATCCTCGGCCAGGTGTGGTGGCTCACGTCTGTATTTCCAGCACTTTGGGAGGCCAAGGCGGGCGGATCAAAAGGTCAGCAGATGGAGACCATCCTGGCTAACACGGTGAAACCCTGTCTCTACTATAAATACAAAAAAATTAGCCGGGCGTGGCGGCGGGCGCCTGTAGTCCCGGCTACTCGGGAGGCTGAGGTAGGAGAATGGCGTGAACCCGGGAAGCGGAGCTTGCATTGAGCTGAGGTCCCGTCCCTGCATTCCAGCCTGAAAGACAGAGCGAGACTCCATCTCAAAAAATAAATAAATAAAATAAAAGTAAAACACAGCCTCTGGCCAGGCGCGTGTGGTGATTCCTGCCTGTAATCCCAGCACCTTGGGAGGCCTGGGCAGGTGGATCACCTGAGGTCAGGAGTTCGAGACCATCCTAACATGGTGAAACCCCGTCCCTGTTAAAAACACAAATTGACCGGGCATGATGGCTTACACCTGTAATCCCAGCACGTTGGGAGGCCAAGGCGGGTGGATCACGAGATCAGGAGATTGAGACCATCCTGGCTAACACGGTGAAACCCTGTCTACTAAAAATAAAAAAAAGCTGGGCGAGGTGGCGGGTGCCTGTGGTCCCAGCTACTCGGGAGGCTGAGGCAGGAGAATGACGTGAACCCGGGAGGCGGAGCTTGCAGTGATCCGAGATGGTGCCACTGCACTCCAGCCTGGGTGACAGAGCAAGACTCCGTCTCAAAAAAAAAACCAAAACTAGCTGCGTGTGGTTGTGGGTACCTATAATCCCAGCTACTCGGGAGGGTGAGGCAGGAGAATCGTTGGAACCCGGAAGGTAGAGGTTGCAATGAGCTGAGATTGTGCCATTGCACTCCAGCCTGGGCAACAAAAGTGAAACTGCGTCTCAAAACAAAATAAAACCCTGGCCTTGCTGCCCGCTCCGTTAACTCATATCTTGGAGCTCACATAAAGTGCTTTTAGCATTTGTGCCCAATGAGAC